AAGCGGCCTCTTCTCCCAGTCAATCAGCTGTGTCGACATGTCAACCAGAAGCCCCTGACACTGGTACCTCACACTCACCAACATCCATTAATAACTTGAGGAAACACAATCTTTGATATATTTTTTTCTTCAGGTTTTAGTGTGTGTAATTAATTTTCCTGTTATCTGTCGATATTTATTTTAGAAACGACACTGATAGCCACTCGGGACTCCGCCCCTGAGGTTGAACATCTTCCAATGCCTTCGCCTCCAGACAACCCACCTGAAGCTGCCCCAGTGGACCCCTCCCCAAACAACCTTGCAGCAGAGGCAGAGAGTGGAGAAGATAAGAAAGAGGACAGAGGTGTTAATCACAGCCAGGCTAAGGAAGACTCCCTGGACAAATCAGAAGAACAGGAGAAGATGCACAGTCAGGAGGACAAAGAGACAGGAACTCCTGCTGCAGAGACAGGTACAGTTTTCATTTGATTTAGTTTGGACTAGTGCAGTGCTCGTTCTCCACAGACAGAGAGACAGACAGATGTTTCTGGTATCATCAGACATATTTAGTGCTCTTAACTGTTTTATCCCCTTTTTCCATGTTGTGAATAATACATGTGTATCGTTATGTATCATTATATAATAATGAGAATGATGGGTCTTTAATTGGTCACTTCAGAGCTAATTCAATATTATTCCTTGTCATCAATCCCCCTCAAACACTTCTACATTATACTGTTACTTTTTATTGTTTGTGTCTTGAAGGTTGTGCACAGTCCATGATGCAGAGTGAAGTTAGAAAACTTTGTGTCCATCATACCTGGTTTATCTGCAATGAAGATTTTATGGCCAATGTTTTTCATAAAATTTGATTTATTACTCTTTATGGATGTAGTTCATATATAGGTTTGAATGTTTTACTGAACTGCTGTTATTTTATGCATTGCATATTTCAGAGGTTATTATTTATTGAATCTCGTTGCTATGACAGATCACCACACACGACACCTTGTCGTTTTATTTTGCTAAGATAATGGCCTCTGAGAATTAATTCACCGTATAAATGAGACTACGAACCAGATCTTATTACACACACACTTATTACATAAATTGTATGTTTATTATTTATTCATTCAATCCACCCTGACTCACTCCTCTCTTCTCGCTCTTCATGTTCATGTGTAAAATGAGCAGAAAACTACGATAGTAACAAAGCTCGTGCAGAAGTTTGAACTTATCTTTTCTGAGTATGTCATGGTGCTATATGCAGTGTTTGGATTGGAATGAGGATGCATTCTCATTAGGTCTGCTTGTTTTTAGTAATGAATCCTAATATATAATCCCACATTTATGAACCTGTTGAGCAGAACTGGGTCCCATAAATCGGATCTGGAATTCTAAGTGCTCTCTGTCTCTCCACAGCAAAGCAAGATAGTTCTGAAGACCAAACACACAAACAGCAGGAGAGTGTGAAGAAATCCCAGACAAAAACTCCCTTGAGCACTGACTGCTCCCTTCCTCCTTTTGACCCCAGCAACCCAGTTGGTATGACACTTTTTCCCCACCATGTCTGCTGTGTTTTCACTCTCATGAACAGCCAATAGAGTTCACTGTCATGTGTGTGTCCTCAGGTATGGAGTTCTTGGTTCCGAAGACCGGTTTCTTCTGTAAGGTGTGCAATCGATTCTTCAGTGGAACAAAAGAGGCGGAAATCAGCCACTGTAAAACGGCCAAACACTACGAGAACCTATTGGTAGGCAACACTTTTATGTGTGTAGGCCATTGCACTTTTCTTAATACTTCCTGTAATGCATGTGAGAAATGTTTGTTCAGTTCAAATTTCCTTTTTCTTTCTTTCTTTCTCTAGAAATACTTGCAGAATATGAAGACTGCCAAACCTGACCCCAGCTGAATGTGGCATGAAACCACTGAATTCATTTTGCCATTCCCCTTCTTTTGTATAGTCTCCTTATTTCTCACTTAAAGGTCCAGAATCTCATATTGGTGTAGACTAGTCTTATTTCTCCATTTTAAAACATATGTATTGCTTTTTTGTGCAATTAAAAGAAACGATTTGAACTGTACAGTGGAAGATGGATGCCAGTTTGAACTGTGCACAGTAAAATGTCTTGACTTAATCACGTGTTGTCACTCATTTACACTCGGTCTCAAATTGGTTGATATTTTATTTGTTTGGAAAGAGAGAGCTTCACTGGATGTTTTTAGAATGGGACACAACAGAACTTTCCTTATATACAGTAGAATCGATACAATCACTAACAGGACTTGTTATACACAAACATCTTCAACTAAAGTGGAGGAATCAGTTCAATCAGTTTGAAGTGCTCAGTTCTCACCTGATCGACCTGTTTCTTAGGTTCTTAGGAAGTGCCATGAAAAAATGTCCATTTGAGTTCAGATAGAGATTTAATGAAGTCAGTGAGGACACCATCGAATGTAACACTGCATTGATGGACACTATCAAATTAAGACTGGTCTTGTCTCAATGGCAGGACATCTGTTTTACCAGAAGGTGGCAGTATATGCTGCTCTGAGCTGGGACCACATTTTGAGACCAACTTGGAGACAGTCCATCTAAATGTCATATCCTCACTTGGAGAAAAGCTGATTAAGTCAGTGCTAAACTTCAGGGTTAGGGCAAGTTTACAGGAAATGATTATAATATCCCCAAACATTGTCTCATTGTTATTACACTGAATATCATGTAGTGTCCAGTGATTATATATAAAGATGTTTGTCGAGAGATATTTAAATGACTATGTTCTTCTGTCTAAAGCTGAAGTAATAGTAATATATAATTTTATCTGGTGGAATGAATGTCATTTTTAAAATATATGTATCATAAAAGGAAATGGTGGTACGTCTACTAGTTTTGAACTTTAAACAAAACTTTCAAAGTGAAATGGTTAATTGAGTTTAATGGACATTTGGAATACTTTCCCTCAATATGTTTTTGGTTTAATAGCTGGAAGTAGATTCCCACTAAAGTGTAGTGACTCAATTATTAACTTGCAAACTGTTTTTCATCAACTAATAACCACATTTCGGAAAACAAGAATAATCGGTAACACTTTATATTAGACACACACACAAAGTGAACATATCCAAGCACTTGATTGTAATTTATGTTCAACAACTTCCTTACTTACCATCAATAAGCAGTAATTAGGAGGTTATTAAGGGAAAACTGTTAATCAATGGAGTAATTGCAGAAGAAGGTAATTAAGAATAAGGCATTAATAAGTGCTTTATAATGACTAATAAAGAGCCAATATGCCTCTAATATCCACGGTAATATGCAACTAGTTAATGGTTGATATGTGTTCACTAATATAAAGTGTTACCTAATAATAAATATATACCAGGCTCATGCTCCCCTGTCACAACAGGAGCTGAAGCCAATCCCAGCTGACAGTGGGTGAGAGGTGGGGTACACCATGGACAGGTCACTAGAGAATCGCAACAGATAAACAACATTCACCTTTACACCTCCAGACATTTGAGAGTCCAAATGACTGAACCCCTATGTGGAAAGAATTCAGAGCTCCTGGAGAAAAGACACGGAGAACATGCAAACTGCTCAGTAAGGCCCTAACCAAGCTGGGACTTGAACCTGGAACCATCTGTTGCTGTGAAGCAACCGTGCTAACCACCACATACTAATCAGTTATGCCTTTAGAAACAATATGCTCTTATTATTGATTCGACACACCAGATCTGTTTTTATATCTGGATGTCTGGATGTGGACACTTATAACCAGGATAGAGAAGGAGGAGGGAGAAGAGAACTGGAAGTCAAAGAACAGCTCCAAAACCAGGAGGGGACAGGAGGTACTGAGTCTTCTACAGGTTCTTGAAGAGAGAAAGATGACACTCATTCCGAGCAACCAAGGACCACAACAGTCTGGAATGTGACTTCCTTGCGTGCAGGGATGGAAGATAAAGATCACATTCCTCCGAGGAACACAGGGCGTGATGAAGTGTGAGTTCATATATGATTAAGCTGCTGCTCGAGCTGTCTTGAGACAAAAGAGATGTTTTGGTGGAGTGGCCACTGTTAAATTCCAACTGATTTGAGTTATGGAGAGTCCTCGTGAGAGGAATCCTGTGACCCCTTGATATGAATAGAAATGAGGAAACCATTTGATAATTTTCAATTTGACCAGGGTGAGAGGTGTTACCTGGGCCCATCTAAAATGTGTATAGTATTTGTCATAGGTGATTGCTGGCTCACTGGTGGGAGATATAACTTGAAATAGTTTGGTGAGAATGGGGTCCAGTGCACGTGTGTTGCCCTGTCTCTGAGAGGTGCAGAGGTTTGGCCACTGATGACTGGCAGCTGTTCGGTGGAATATATATGAGAGCTCAGTGTCTGGTGGAGGACCGAATAGTCTTTTAAAGAAAGAACTAGTGAGCAGAGAGAACTAGTGAGTGAACGTGCTCTGCTTTTGTTGTGTTTGTTGTTTTACACGTCAACACAACAGTATCCCAAGTCCGCCTTAAACTCTGGATTCAACAAGTGTACCATCGCAGAAGAGAGTCTGAAAATGTGAATGAAATTACAAAAGTTGAAGCAAAAACATAGATTCAATTCAATTCAATTTTATGTATATAGCGCCAATTCATAATTTACATTATCTCAAGGCACTTTACATTTAAAGGTCAAGACCTTAAAACAATATTAACGTAGAGAAACAATATTAACGTAGAGAAACAATATTAGCGTAGAGATGGCCTTTTAAAATCATCTTTATTTAAAGGCAAGCTGTATTATTGACTGAAAAAAAAATGTTGACTTGTGTTATACAACATTTGAATTTTGGATTCATTTAGGCACTGTGTCAGTTCCCCAGAGAAGTAAAGACAGAGTGAGAGAGATTGTTTTTGTTCAACCTGTCGAGCAGGTTGGATTGGATGAATTTTAAGGGTTGGGGGGTTAGGAGGGAGGAGTCAACAGTCCTATGACACAGGGAAGGAAAAAGACAGTAGAGAAGGAGAGAGCCTGTCAACACAGACGTCTTGTGTTTATATTTTTACCCACTGACAGAAACAATCACTGCTGTGAAATCTCTTCAGTCCTCACAACAGGTAAGACATGTTTAACTACGCTAGCAACGTATTCATCATGAACCTGTGTGTCTCATGTTGTCTTTTATAATATAATGCTTATAGTGCACGGTCTGGGTAGTACCTGGCACAGGCTAATGGACTAAACCTTCATCTAGTTTCAACAACCACTAATTGTCTCTTATCGTCAAGTGTGAGATAAAAGACTGTTGTAAATATTTGTGAAAGCTGATACTGGAAGTGTCTCAGTCGTAATAAGAAAATTGCAGAGAGAAAAGTGCTCAGGGTGACAACAGTATTTGTTAAGCTTGCAGCTAAAGAACCCTTTGTGCACTGATTTCACCATCATAAGCATGTTACTGTGAAAAGTGTACCAGAGTGATAAAAGCCATTTAATGGCTGTGTAATGTGTGTTAGGGGATGATGTGGTTTCATTGAATCACATCCATTGTTGGCCTATCTCCTGTTCAAATACACTTGCTTCGGACAAAAGTGTCAGCTCAATGAATTGAATGTAAATGCGTGAGAAAGAATGGCAGATAACACATGTGCAGGCACAAGCATAGTAACATGTTCTCCTTCGACAACAGCATATGCACCTGTTTGACTTCACAGTTTCAACATGCAGAACTCAACTCTCGACTATGTAACTGCTTATAACCTCCTGCAACAATGTGATTGGTCTTGACCATGAGTCGTCATTGAGAAATGTGGCACTGGAGTCATCTACAGCAGCAGGAACTATGACTCAGGTGTTTGTCTGTGGATAGACTGTGTCAGTCTGTGTGACAGTCACAACAACTGTGCTAGATACATTCACAAAACTTTGTAGGTGTGTAGTTGAGATCCAAATGAAGCAGGGTGAGTGTGGTTTGATCCTTGGTTTCGGCCCAGATTTGGTCCACATGCTACATGATGGAGAGCTGCCTAACCCTAACCCTGTGAATTGCCAAACCACACATGAAACAGAAAAAAAACTAAGAGAAACATGTTTAAATAGCAACGAGCTGCAGCAATTTGGGTCCAGGCAACAGGATACCAAATGTACACATGGTAAGAGTCACCTTCCTCTTGATTTGAACTTGTAAACTTTGTTCCACCTAGAGATAAAAGTCACATCATAGCCTTGTTACAATGACATCACATGCTGAGTATTTTTTCCATTTAAACTTAAAACTGTGACAATTGTCAAAAATATTGGTGATTAAATGTAAAACAAATCACACATCATCCCCATGTATTGGGGGATGATATTCAACACTTCGAGTGTTAAAGTTTGATCAAACATTTGACCAAATATAAAACTCTGTGAACTCCGTAGTGAAACCACTGTGAAATCATTGTTTGACATTTCTGGACAGGAAACAGCATGAGGTCAATGAATGTGAAGTCGGTGGAATTTGCCACCCACCTGGTCATTTACGCTTCAGGAACAGGAAGGAAAGGAAGAAAAGAAGGAACAATGAAGACAAAGGGAATAAGGCTCCAGCGGTTTTACTGACCGCTAACCCATGTGACAAACTCTGGAGCAGCAGATTACATTTCCAATATCAGTTTACTGAGCAGATACAATGATGTGTTTGAGAGGAAAACTAGCGAGAGACAAGAATCGGATTTATTGTGTTGCATTGCAACCACAAGTTCAAGTTTGTGTTCAAAAGTAACATCAGTGTGTTTCACAAAGTCATTGTGGGGTCCTAATTGGCTAATCTAAGCTAATTAGCCAGGTTTTTGGAGTGATCACATACCACCTCCAACTTTCATGAAGACTTTAATGACAATACTGTTTCAGAGAAGTTTGATTCAACTTTATGAAAATGTTGGAGGCTGCAGTTTGTAGTGCTGGTGAATTATGGTGTTTCTTATATCTACACTATATATATATATATGATATATTAGAATATCAATAAGGTAGAGTAACTGACAGAAACCCTTATAAAGGAGTTAACCACATGAACATGGACATTCACAAAGGAGGGTTTATTGCAAAATGACAAAAATGGTAAATGTATCAATTTAAATGAATGAAAACTACAATGTATTCAAGTGCGTGAACTGTAGCCACTGTACCCTCAGAAACACACAATCAACACTCTCATTTGTTTTCTACTCCAGCTATGATAACTATGCACAGGTCATTTGCTGCCTACTTTAGCTATGGCAGCAATGAATGGAAAACTGGCTCGACCTGTTCTACAGTTGTGTGTTTGTGTGTGTGTGTCTTGTGCCTTTAAAGCTACAGTAAACAATGCAAGAGACTGTTATACAAGTTATATAGTTAAGAACATTGTTACACTACGTTGTGAGGGTCATCGTGTGAGTGGAACCAATCCCACCTGACACTGAGAGCTGGGGTACGCCCTGGACATCCAATCACAAGTGGTCAGTTGAGACATGTCAAAACACTTTTTAATGCATGCCTCACAGTCACTAAAATACATAACATAGCATGTGTGTGGACTGTGGGAGAGAACTGGAGAGGACGCAAACAGACGTAACAGTGGGATTGTTGCATTGGATTTATGACGGAACGGCTAATATCTTGGCAACCATGATACATAAAATCCTAGTGTATATACGCTTAGTGGGTGATGACAAATTTTTGTGGTAATTTGTTAATGAGGAAAACATAAAATTACTGATATCTGAATTAGTCAGCCAATCAACTGAATTTCTGTAGCACATATTCACAAATCACCATTTATCTCACAGGGTTTTTAACAAGCTGCAACATCCTCTGCCCTTAACCCTCAACAAGAGAGAGGAAACACTACCAAAAAGACCCTTTTAACAGAGGGGGGGAAAAACGCCACAGGAGTGCAATAGATGCAGAGTGTAGCAGAGCTCATCAACAAACTAACAATATTTACAACATTAATGAGAAAAGTCAGTGTTTAACATAAATGGTGAGGTGTCTCAGTGCTTAAAGTATTAATACAAAAGATTATGTGACAAAGAATGTTGTATATCTAAGCAATCTAGTTGTAATTATAATCCATGATCCCAGTCCACCATCATGATATCTCAAAAACTGTCCTGAAGTGAACTCATGAACTAAAGAAATGATACATCTGTGGAAACATTTTCTAAATATGTCAGAAAATCAGGCAACAGCAACAGTTGCAGCAACCTCACACAAACGCACCTGTGGTGGTGAATCTAGTTTAGCACACTCAGAGTTTATCTAGAGTCACCATGACTCATCAACAGACAGGTTGCACCAACCATCTTCTGCCAACTCAGAGGTATAAAAACTGGTGTTGTTAACATTTATTAACTAATTCATTAAGATTATTCTGTAATGTTTCAGTCTTGCTAAAAAGAAAGACACTTATCCACTTGTACTCAGCCCGTTGAAGGAAAAGGTTGGCGTATGTAACAAATCCTGAGAAAAGACAAAAACCAACAATCATTTGCTCGTCTTTTCTTCCCTACCTAAAGTCAATTTATTAGGGACAGTGCCTCTGAATGAAAGAGTACATGAAACAGCTACAGAAAAATAATCACCAGTTATTCTTGAGGGATGCCGCCTTCTGTTTTTAAGTGCAGAACATGTGGAAAAGGAAATGTGAATGACTTCATGGCAAACCGGCTGTGTCGAAATATTCCAACCCAGCCTGAATTCCCACATCTTGCTAAACCACTCATTTGTACTGTTTCTTTGTTTGTGTGACTGCATGGGGCACAAACACTCGCAGACTCACAGGAGTACTGTGCTGTTACTAACAGCGCTGCAGTGTTGTGGTTTCATGGATCATGTTACAGGCAGGATTAGTTTTAGATTTAGGTTTGGCCTTAAATTCAAAGTTAAGATTAGGTTCAGTGTCGGAAGACAGGTCTGGGTTTATAGTATTGGTACTAAATTCACCTTCACCAGTCGTCGAAGTTTGTCTGATAGCTGTTTAGCCTGTGGTAAGTCAAGTAACCATGCAGCTAAAACATGAAACTTCTCAGTGCTAATCTGTAACAACAAATATACACTTTATCTTCTGGATAATAACTCTGTGCTTCATCAACATGTCAACTATACAGACTCATGACATTTGTTGCTATGAGGTTGGTACTTTTTGTTCAGAAGAAGTATAAAGTTAAAAATTCCAGTTTGTACATTTATTAGACACTAATGTTAATCTCGTCTTGTTTTGCTGGATAACATTACCTTGTGAAGTGAAAGAAGTAGAGTCAAAATATTGTTTTTTCTTGAGGCAAGTCACTGTCACCACATTTTCTTTTATAAAATGAGCAAATTACAAAAATCATTAGGCACCGAAACAGAGTTTGTCTATTTAACGGCTCTATATAACCTGCATCCCTTATTTCTTACGCTATCCAGTTTAGCAGCGGGTGGTTATGGCGCTGCCTGCAGGCTTTCTGTCTGAAGACCAGTTCACCTGCTCCATTTGTCTGGAGGTGTTCACCAACCCAGTATCAACGCCATGTGGTCACAGCTTCTGCCAGGCCTGCCTCTCCTCTTACTGGGAGGGAGTGGGAGGAAAGATCTTCCAGTGTCCCCTCTGTAAGGAGTCCTTCCGCAAGCGCCCAGAGCTTCAGATCAACCGAACCCTGAGGGAAATCACTGAACGATTCAAGGAGATTGCCAATTCTAGAATGGCAATGGATGACAGAGGTGGAGAAGGAGTGGAGGACACCAACTCTCATCCTCACCATCATCACAACCCGGCCACGAGGCCAGGAGAGATGCCGGAGAGCATCTTTACCGAGATGATGACACGTTTCCAACAGCTACCAGCTCATCCCAGTGACTCTCACGACCAAAGCCCCAACAGAGTCAATTCTCAAATGGCCTTCAGGGCTCAGAGCACAGAGCAGCTCGATCCACCTCCATCCTATTCATCTCTCCGCAGGTACTACACTCCCCACATTACAGAAGGATTTATAGTATTCATTTTAGAAATGCTTTGTTGGAATGATTTGATTTGGTGATTTTTTTTTAATCTCAGGCTAAAAATTAGTTTTTTCTTGTGTTTGCAGAATAGTAACAAACTCCAGGAGTGATTTTGTTAATGTTGGTTTTGCTATTACCAAAAGTTGTTGTTGTTGCGAAAAGTACGTTTTAAGACATGTGGGTCATCAAACCAGGGCTCAATTATTACAACACTATCTGGACGACACTGACAAAAACACTCTGTTTTTATCACAGTTCCCTAAAAAACGGCTTCTTTCAGTCACTTTTTTAAAATGCGAAGGATCTGTCACTCAGATGAGGACTTTATGGAGGAAGCTGCTGATGTGGATCATAGATTTGCACAGTGGGGTACCCATCATCATAGATTAATCAAGCATACGAGTTGGCTCGAAGACGATCCGATCTGCTTTAGTTAAAATGAATGCGAAAAACAAAAGAAATTCTCAGTTATGTAACAATAAGAAATCCAGTCAACACAGACACGTTTGCACCCTCTTCCCAATGGCAACTCCCGCTGTGGAAGTTACGCATAGTTGCAATAACACAATGAAAACTCATCGCATTTCCCAAAACACATACAGGCAAAGTAATTCCCATCAACGACGTTATCGCTTGTGAATCCTCTCATGTGATTTATTTGATGCATGGTCCCTGTGGACTTGTATATGTTGGGAAAACCTAAACTTAAAAAGGATGAGTGTGCATAAAAGCCCAATACAGAGAAATGGTCGGATTTATTCGATAGCTGCGCATTTCAATGATGCTCTTCATGACATTTCCTCATTGTGTTTCTGTGGCATCGAACTGGGGGAGGGGACCATGACAAACTGCTCCAACAGTGTGAGGCTTACTGGATTTAAACTCTCACTGGCTCTAAACGGACTGAATGATAGATACTTCTTTACCTTTTGCTGTGATCCTATGCAATGAACCTTTATTGAACATTTTGGTATATGTTTTTTAATTAAATGCATCTATGCAGTTTCGCCTGCAAATGAAACCTGAAATGTTGTGATTGGATGGCTGACCTGTGACCACTCCCTATTATGCATTCTTAACTTTTGGGCTAATACCTTAAAACAAAACCAATAGATATTATTCCCTCACTCTCACTTTAAAGAAATTATCAAATTGATTTGAGCAGCTGGAAGCAGACATTTCTGGCATTTTGTTTAGAATTATTCATTGATTATCAGAACATTTGGTGCTTCTGAGTGATGCTATATATAACTTTTGGAGCTCTTCCTCCAAATCTTAAACTTGCACCATAACAACTTTCATGTACTAAATGTGCTTTTATATTTTATTAATTATGACTTCAATTCAATGTTATGACAGGTACACTCTGAGCGGTCCAAGTGAATCTTTGCCCAGTCTGCCTCTGTGTCCCCTCCACCTGAGAGCTCTTGAGTTCTTCTGTCGCGCTGACAACTCGTGTGTGTGCAACTTGTGTGTGGAGGCAGGAGAGCACAAAGGACACACCGTCATCCCCGTCAAGAGGGAGTGGCACATCAAGAAGGTTTGTGTGTGTGCGTGTGTGATTTTCCATTAAGTTTATGGTAATTGTTGAATGTGTAACTATGGCGACACCTAGTTGTCAAATCAAAGATGACATAAAAAAAACGACATAAAAAGCATTTGGAAGATTGAATAATCATGTAAATTCTATACCCAGCAGAAACAAGGGTTGGGAAGTTGTACATTATGGAATGTGCGACATCACTATTTACTTTAACATTGCAGAGAAACCAAAACTATGTAAAGTGCCTTGAGATAATGTATATTATGATTTGGCGCTGTAAAAATAAAATTGAAAGAATTACATTTGTGCTCTTGTGTAATCTAAAATCAGAAAATGGTTCCCTGCCTTTTCAGCCCCGACCACCAGAATAACCATACTGTACACTTGCCCTGTTATCCCCGAAGGTGGTTTAATCAAATAATGGAAATAATCCCCAATAAGCACGTATGTCACTGTTTCCTGTGGTGTTGTAAAGTGACCTGTTGTAACTGATGCTGTCGCTATTTTGTCACAATCATATCTATATATACTATTTCCAATCATTTTGGGATGGTCTCTTGTGACCACCCAAGGGGAGTCTATGATCCCTGCTTTGCGACCCATTGATTCAAAATATGTTACTGTTGAGACAATCATACACTTTCTTTCCACGCCATGGGGATTATAATGTATAAAACTTTTTGTTTGCATATACCAGGCATAGAATAGACGAAACAACTTCACGGTCAGGTGGAGGTTCTGTGGTGGTTATTAGTCATGATGTAATTAGGTTGTGTTCTCCATCTTCTCCAGGCCCAGTTAGAAATTGAGGAGGTGGAGCTGAGGGATCTGATCTGTGAGAGAGAGAGGAAAGTGGAGGAAATACAGGGATCCTTACGAGAGATACAGGTGAGTTTCAGTTGTTCAGTCCATCTTTAAGACCCCAGACACAGACTCATTCACACCAGACCGACTGTCCTGACAACTCATAAAAGACTCCCTGTATGTGACACATTTAAAAGATAGAGGAGTCTACAATTAACCTGATCCAGACTGCTTCTAAGTGATGAGAGCCACATTTACTGTGAGGCTGACGCGTTGCATTTAAGATAATGATGTTGGTCTCCCTCTTGTTTCTATTAAAACATTTGAAACACAACCTTGTATGTACAGTATATCACTTAAAACAGGAGTGCATGGATCTTTCCAACGCGACAAACGTCCAGTCCGTGCCTCTAACACATAAACACATGGTACATGTACTTACTGATTGTCTGCTCCTCAGGCTGCTGCTGATAGAGAGACCTATGAGGCTGTGTGTGTGTTCTCCAAACTGATCTCCAGTGTGGAGCACTGCCAAGATGAAGTCATGGAGGTACACAACATGTACAGGATAGATGAAGATGTATTTTTTTTCTGTTACCATTGTAGTGAGAGTCAGTATATGAATTCAGCAGTGATCGCAAACTTGTTCCTGTTAACCTCAGGGGATAGAGATGAGTCATCGAGCAGCCAAGCACAGAGCTCAGAGTCTGCTGAGAGAGCTGGAGGAGGAAATCGCTGTGCTGAAGAGGAGGAGTACAGCACTGAGCCAGCTGGCTGGATCTGGAGACTGCATAGACTTTCTCAAGGTATGGACAAATGAAAGACTAAATATGATATAGTACAACAAATAAAGAAGACACGAATAAGTGAGAAAATTGATTCCACTAGTACTTTCACTAATAACGACAGAGTCATCTCTGATTTACTGTTTTTTTTCCTCCCTGCAGACGTTCTCTGGCCTGTCCACCCCTCCTCCAGCTAAGGACTGGTCCAGTGTCTCTGTGTCGTCCGAGCTGACCTCAGGGCTGATTCTACAAAACCTCAGTCTAATGATGGAGAACTTTCAGGAAGAGATGCGCAAACTGCCAGAACTTAGTAAGTCTTCATTCAGACTCAGAGTGAAACTGGATAGTTTAGTTCAGATGCTGAAGTTAAGGGAAGCATTCTACAATTTCAAAACCAACGTATGATTTTAAAACCTAAGACCAAATAAGAATATTCTGCCAAAGAACCAGTTTTGTAGAAATACCTTAATTTGTATTACTGTCACACAGGACTGCTGTGTTAGTTTTAATCAAGGAGCACTAATACGTCTCTGTGTGTTTGAGGATGAGCTCTGATGAGCACATGTTCACTATAAGGCTGATGATGCTCACGATCACAACAGTCTCTTCTTTTCTCTTATTAACAGGCCAGCAGTCGTCATTGGACGTATCTGTACCCAGACCAAACCCAAGTAGGATTGTTGTTAGGAAGTTGTTGATTTGCATCTGTCAGGAATATTGTTTATTTCAAGTGTTTCTCATCCTGTTAAAGTTAATGAACCACTAAACATTTACAAAAATATACATATATGTTAAGAGTACAGTATAAATATCGAATCTTTTCTCCACAGAGATAAGGAGGGTTCAGGAATACGCAGGTAAGAGTTTAAAAAGATTTCTCCCTGTAGTGTAACATTTTCAAATTGCAGTTTGTTTATATAATTAAGTCTTACTTTGACTAATTCCACCATCTATTAGTTTCATCACCAACCATCACTCTTTCTCCATGTGCAAGCTGACATCACTTTAGACCAAAACACAGCCCATCCACGTCTCATCATCTCAGTAGATGGAAAGCAGGTGCACTGCGGTGACCGTCATCAGCTGGTTCCAGACTATCCTGAGCGCTTTGATCGGGTGGTGTGCGTGCTGGCCCGCCAGGGCTTCAGCTCAGGACGACATTACTGGGAGGTGGGTGGGACACATTTTCAATCTGATGTGAATATGGATGTGAATAAAAATGATACAATCACTATTCTTCGAGAAAAACACAGGCTTGTGGCTTTTTATGTGATGTGTGATCAACCTGAGCTCATACAGATCCAAACTGACATTTCAAAATTAATAAAAGTCATACAAGAAAATTAATATTTATAGTTTGTATGAAAAATCAATCAGATTTCAACTTTGTTCCAGCAGGTTATAATTTGCTGAGCTGGTAAACCAGAGGTGAAGGTTGTATAATTCCCATAGCATTACAAATGTCAGTGCCACAGTTTAAAGGTCCTGTACCCTGACTTACCAGTTGCGATCACTTGCTCAGACCAGAAAAATGTAATTCATGAAAATATTAGATGCACCTAAACCTACTATATAAACACTTATTTACTATTATATAATGTTATGTCCCCCCCCTCTTGTGGCAGTTTGGCGTCCCGGACGAGCACCCATGATTCTGGCTTGGGGTGTGAGACGTCCCGGGTGCAAATCCCGGACGAGCCCCCAATTTATGTTACGACCCTTGGGATTGTATAGTGTCTAGGGATGTTTGAAAGGGCCTAACACTGCGCAGAGCAGGGTGTGTGGTGTGTTCACACAAGTAAACCAAACCAAGGTTCTTGTAAAAGGAACAATAATTTATTATACAAAAATAAACGCCACAGGGAAGAAGGGAACTATGAGCGGTGCCCAAGCAAAGAAATCATAAATCAAAATGTGCAGTCCTAAGCTAGTGCAGCAACACTCTATGCTATCACAGAAACCGAATTCTAAGCTACTCTACACATCATAAATACGTGTTGTGGCACCTACTCCTTACCTAGTGATTTTAACAGGTGTAAGGCTACTGGGTGGAAATGTAAACCCATGGGTGTCTTACCTGTTCACCTTTCCCCTGTGCGTGAGGCAAAATTGAACAAAAACACTGCACCGAGTACAGACCATCAAACAAGGAACACAGAAACACAGCTTTTACCAAACACACCACATCTAACGAATAATACAGAAGTCAACAAGCCAACTCTCTCTCAGTTTAAATGTGCAGGGTTAATGTCAAGTGTTATTTTTGTTGCTTCAGTCATTGGCAGGAAATTCCATTCCCATTGCAGACATTAAAGTATCTGATGTCTGTAGTATAGGAACAGTATGACCCCACTCTAGAGACTCATTCACTCAATGCAATGAACTGTACCACACTGCCCTCTTCCAGGTCGAGGTTGGAGGAAAGACAGACTGGGACCTGGGAGTGGCAAGCCGGTCTGTCAATCGGAAGGGCAAAATCAGCGTAAGCCCCGCCCATGGTTATTGGTTCCTCAGCCTGCGGGATCGGACCGACTTTGCCTTTCGAACGGAACCCTCAACCAACCTCTCAGTCAACCTCAGACCTTCACGGATTGGAATCTATGTGGACTGTGACAAGGGACTGGTGTCCTTCTACAATGTGGAGGCCAGAGTGCTCATCTATACATACACAGATAGTTTTCCTGACACCATCCATCCATTCTTCAGCCCCTGTACTAACAAGTCAGGAAGAAATGAGGGTCCACTAATCATTTGCTCTGTTGCAATGACAGAATGAAAAGAGTTAACATTTGAAGGAAATCTTTAGTAATGAGGAATGCTGTCACAGACAAACACCGGGAACAGCTTTAATCAAAGCTTCACCTCATTCCCTCATGACAATAGAGCAGACAGCAAACAGACTGTTGATGTTGACGAGGGCGTCCCTCATTCAAGACTCAAGGCAGCACTGGTCAATACTGCTGTTATAATAATATTTAGTGCTGAAAGTCTTGAAGAATCTTGACACAGCATTAGGTGCATGAAAAAGAAAGAGTAAATGCGGCTGTGATTCAAATTATCCACATCATTTGGCTGAAGTTAGGTTTCAAAGCACAGCATATGTTGGCATGTTAACAGGGATGTGCTGTGGGCAACGTCTGCTTACTGAGGATGATTCCTCAAATATGCCATAAAGTGTTTTCCGCCCTCTTCAGGCTTCCATTGAGCATCATGCTACATTTCTGGCTGAGCTGGTTTAAAGCATGCACTTCATTTAAAAGTCATAAAAACTATTTATTGACAGCTCATCAGTCCAGCAGTTAGACCTGAGTCATTTCAGGTGCACGTGTGAATTGGTGTCTTCCTCCCTTGGTAATGAAATTATGTCCCATGCATAAAAGTAGAATTTCAAGGCTCTGAGAATCTTTCACAAATATGAAAACGCCCATGAGTGAAAAGTAGAGAAAGACTGATAATTAACCTTTTTTGCAGGTTAAGGTTACCAGTCAGTTGTTTTTACGGAGGCCTCCTTTATAAAGGAAATCTATGAGGGGGTTGTAGAGTGGGGGCAAGATGGCAGCCAGCTAACTCTCTGCCACCTTGCCTGTTTTATGTCCATTGATGAAGCTCTTATGTGTTGATATGCTGTTTGTATAACAGTGAACATGTTCCAACACTAACAATATCAGTTCTAGGTAATTTAACCCAAAATAATTTAATTCTATCTTTCTTTATTAAATGTGTAGGTTTTCTCTGCTGCTGACCGTGGTTTCCCGTGGGAGTGGGTGCTCTCTGTTTCAGCTGTTGTTTGGTTTACAAGTCGAGAGGTTGTATCTTCACACTACTTGTTAATCTCTGTCTGCTTAATCTTTTCAGTAGCTTGATGTCTAACTTACTTCTCATGAGTTTCTATACTGTGGTATGTTGAATACAATAAATGTTATTTTAAAACATTAACTTAAACATTAATGGAACATCACTGTGGACTCTTCGTTTGCTGTTGTCAGAATATTGAAGGAAAAATCAAGTAGATTTAATTCACAGAGAGATTGTTTATGGAAAGAAATTTTAAGAGTGGAATTCTTGAATAACATGTACTTCATCAGATCAAAATGCCTTAGTACAAATTGTGAATTAAATAGTATGTTAATAAAATTGATAAATAAAAAAACATTGGAGGTGTGTATGTTGGGTGTTTCATCTTCTTACATATGCATCAAGTCAATGGCTACAAACTGCAAGTTTGCATTGTAAGATTTTGAGAATCTGGTAATACATTACCACGGTCAGCTTCTTAGCTGCCAGCTGGTGATCAGTTTGAATGCTGAACTATATGCCATTATGATTTCAAGTAAGTACCACTCTGCCAGAGAGGGTGCAGGTCAAGTGGTTTATTTACAAGTTCGCTGCCTTGAAATGGATGTAAATTTGATCAAACCTCACATTGGACTTTGCTTCAGTCGACTGAATTACCGAAGGCAGAGGTAAATATATTCCAGTTACTGCTGCATATTTTCACAGTGGCTGCCACAATCATTTGTATTGTGGTGTCAAGAGCGAACAGGGAAAGTCAAGTAGGTTATTAAAGTGATGCAGATAAAACGTTCTCTTCTTTCTTTAAATTTAATTCAGGAATATATTGTATTTCTGTCTCAGAAACCTGCTTATAAAGTGATCTGATATCTTCAGCTTGGGACAAACAGACAAACAACATAATGGTGATTGGGTAATATTAATTTAATCAAACAGAAAAGTGCATGGCAGTGTAGAGTACACATTAATGTAAACAGACAAATAGTAAAGTCCTGACAAAGTGCAAGGTACACGGAGTGTATTGTGGGAGGTTACAGTCAGACAAAAGAGCCCAACAATGTGTACACAAGCACACACTGTGGGACGCACAGTCATAAACAACAACAATACATAAATGGGCAGAAAATGTATTCAGCCACCTTATATTTGGTCACTGATGTGTCTGGTAGATCACATGCATTAAAGCTCCTCTTAATCACCCACAGTGAACATCCATGTTGAGTAATACGCCTCTGAATAACAACTGCTTCAAGCCAGACTGCCACTGGGGTTCCAGCATTTGAGAAAAATATTAAGATTGTGATTTAAATGCAGTTAATGTGAATTAAAGAACTACATGCTTGTCTGTGGTCCACATAATGGTAAACAAGATCAGTATATCACTTATGTGTAGTGTACTGCTAATGTGGTAGTGACATTGTGCAACAGTTTTCATATATATAAGCTAATAATCAATGTTCAAAGACATTGGTATATTTGTAATTAAGAACTATTTAGTTTTGCAGCTAAAGTACTGTCATGCAAACAGAGGACTCTGTTACAGCAGCAGAAGCATATTATTTTTAGCAGATTCTTTTCAATACATATACCAGTACTGACACCTGCCTCTCCCGTTGTCCCTAATATGATGGATGGTGGGCCTAAAAGAAATTTAGACGATGAACCACACTCTCTCTGGACGGACATGTAAAGTGCTGAGAAACATTGCAAAGCTCAGGCCCATTGGGTCTCAAGCGAGAATAAAAATGTGAATTCATGCTTTTGTATTGTTCCATGTTAACTACTGCATCTTCCCCCTCACATGCCTTGGCAAATCATCCCTGGATCATGTGCAAGTCGTTCAAAATGCCACTGGTCCAGGTTTACCAAAAGATCTCAGGTGACATCCTTCTGTGATGCAATTGTGACGTCTGTGGTCTTGAAAGATGCAGTAAATAAAGTACTTACGTTGTTAGCTAATGTCCAATATTTATACACTTTTAGTTGCCAGCCACAGATAAAAATAAAGTACTTAAGTGGGGTCGGTTAAAAAAGCTGCAGAGCACAAGTGGCTCTTATTGCAAACACTATCACTGCTTTGTGCCAACATCAACCAACCACCAAACTGCCTCAGGGTCGTCGACTTCAGGGAAGATATGAGCAATGTGGGCGACACCAGGCCTGTTACTGCAGCCGTTAGAGGAGGGACGAGCTTGGATCAGATTTACTCAAATCAAATAACATTAACTACAGCACCGTAACCATAAGGTACTGGTGTACACTCACAATGAACTGCACTGTTCTTTAAGGTACGGGTACAAATAGTTCAAATACTGGGGCAGTATCTCTTCCAATCTGACAAACTTCTCATTTGTATTGTTTGTGTGTTTGTGTGGGGGGGGGTATTTGTTCCCTGCTGGTTTAACATATCTCTCCAACAGCAGAGGTATCATGGGTATGTTGGATAATGATTTACACTTTTTTATGCAAAACTTATTGTCAAGCAATTTTCTAAAAAATAACTCAGCAGTTTTTATTCTTTCAGAACTTAAATTACAAATATTTTAGAATACTACAATAGTAAAACAATTCCCAATTCTAGTAAAGCTGTACTTGTATATACACTGTGTAAATCATTTCCTCTTACGATCACTGATGTGTTTTGTGTGGGCGTCTCTCTGAGCACCCAGGCACCTCACCCCCTCCAGCAGCATGGGAGTCCCATGATGTGGGTCTGCACAGAGGAAGAGACAATGATGAGGGCAAAGGAGATAGTGATATTGATGCAGACAAAGAGAGTCCTGGTATTACGTTCAGGGGTCTGATCAAGTCTTTGTCTGTTACTTTCTATATCAAGAAATTTCCATTTCCATCTTGTTTGCATAGCGCCAAACACACATTATTTCAAGGTATATTATATAATAAGGGAGAGACTTTACAAAATTATAGAAAAACCCAACAGTTCCCACAACAAGCAAACACTTTGACGACTGTAGAGAGAAAAAAGGAAGAAACCTCTAAAATCAGAGGGGGGCCATCTGAACCTGAAACACTTTCACTCTGTACAAGAGCACATCATTTGTGCGTGTAACAAGAAGGGAGTGCACACATTTAACACTTGCCTACGAAGGTACGCCTTAAAATAACAGACCAGGTATTTGTTAGTCGACTACTTCAATACAGCAATGCACCAACAATGCATCTGACCACACCTCATTTAAAAGGCCACATGAAATGAAAAATGCTTTTATCCAATCCTGTATTCCAGTGTTAACTGTTCATTTATCTCTTGTAATAAAACCAAATCTATATTAAACCATAACATGACCCAGAAGAGTGTAACCTCTACCTACAACAGTCCCCTTATAAAACGAACCTTTAAGTTTGATTTTGATCTGCACCAAACTGCACAAATATCAGTCCCCTAACATGCCTGATTAATACTAATACTAAATATTAACTACTAATTAATACTACTGATTTTAGATAAATGTTTTAAAAAAAAATTAAAAAAATAGACAGCCTTCTGATGGCTTTGGTTTCCAGGCTATTGGTTGTGACTTAGTAAACATGTGATGAAATAAAATCACAAATACATGCTCATAACTTTGATTCAGTTATATTGTGTGCATTCGTGTGTGTGTGTGTGTGTGTGCTAGTACCTACCAATGACTCTGGCCTGGAGTCTGACCTTCAGACTGCAGGCTTTCCTCCCTCTGGTTACCAGATTGACCTCTTCCTGCAGCACCCCCTCCTGGTGAGTCCTGTACTCACATGTTACCTTTACTCCTGATGGAGAAGGATCATCAGTTTCTACACAAACACTCTACCACAGTTCTTTCCATATTAATGTAAAACTCACACGTTATTTTATTTTGACAACTCAATTTTCACTTGTTTTCAGGATCTGATGAAGTTTGGCTTTAATTAGTTATTGGGTGATTAAACAAATGGGCAGACATCATGATTTTAGTGACCTTTTTATTAGCTTTAACTGTTTATGGCTGTTTAAACTGAAGACTCTCTTTCCATGAGGAAATAATAAACAAGAGGCACGGTGCCAGTTGTGAAAATGCATATTTCTGAAACATACAAATAATGACTTTGCCTAACATCTGTTTTCCTGCACTGTGTGGACTTACCCTCCAGTGAGGAGTTGATGCACTGGACACGGAGGCTGGGGGACCTCCGGGTCGGAGAAGAGGAGGGGAGACAGAGGAGCTCTTTGCCCAGTGTGGGTACATCTGGAACACTGAAGACAATTTCATAACAGTGGTGGCTCTTCAGGAAACCAGCCTGGAAGAGGAACGACAGGGGGGGGGGGGGCGGTTAGGGAGGTTAAAAGACGATATTTAACCTCCCTGATGTGATATGTGATATATAGTATCACTGAAGATCTGGTGTTTTTTGTGAAGGGAATCATTTGAGTCTGGGAGAGTGACGGGCTGAAGAGAACAGAGAGTCGGTTATGATTGATTCACCACCTACTTTATCATTGCCAGCAGATGCAGCAGCAGCCATGAAGATGATAATGTAGGTCCCTCTCTGCGTTTATCTGTGTTCCTCTCTGCATTCATCTGTTTCCTGTTTTATTTTGTAGTCTCTGCTCCTGGTGTGTTTTCCCCCAAGGACTTCCTGCCCTCGTCACTTTCACCTGTCTGTCCTGCGCCCTCTGTGTCTAGTTTGTCATTAGTCCAGTGTGTATTTAAGTCTTTGTGCTTCCCCATGTCTTTGTCAGTTTCTTGTTGTGAGATGCCGTTTCCATGTCCATGTGTTGTCTCACCACTCGTCGTTTCCAGTAAGTCTCTAGTGTTTCCTTGTGTCTCCTGTTATTGTCTGAAAAGCATTTTGTCTCAACAGTTGCTTTTGGATTTTGGATTTATACCCTGCCTTCCTCGTTAAAGGACACCTTTTGTTGAAAACCTTTTGTTCTGCCTTTTGGGTCACCTGCTCCCTTACCCTCGCCCCCCAAAACGTAACAGAATGGCCTCTAAAAGAAATGAAATGTGCAATGAGTGCATGAATGACACACCTTGACCAGGTAGCTGCCATCCTTTTCTTGAATAGCAATGAGAGTGGAGAGGTTTGACTGGTCATCTCTGCGTGTTGGAGAGCCAGGGGGGTCGTTATCGTCAGGGAAATGCACGCCACCCGCTTTGGACATAGAGCCTAGTGGTGAGAGGAAATACACACCTCAGCAACCAAGGCAGGCCCAACCATGGAGATGTCCAAAGTTGTAATTTACCAAATATTGATAAATATTTTACTAAAAATGTTGAAAAAAACATCATCAATGCATCTGTGCTGAAGTGGACAATTCTCTCTCCAAAAGCAGTGTTTTGTCGGAGGCAGATCAATGAGACGGTAAAAACACAGTGTCTGATTACACCGACTGTATCTGTGGGCATTTTGAATTTCAAAATATTACAAGTCCTAGAGAGAAAGTGTAGGGATGTAGTAGTACTGCTGGGAGATATAACAATATCAGAACAGAAGCAAGGTTTGCTGTTGGACAAATACACAAACTGAGTTTACTTTAAAGAACAATAAGGAAATGTTTGTCCTAAAAATGAAGAGATGAATAATGGTGAAGGTTTGAATGAAACTGACCTGAGAGCTAATGGACTAGAAGTAGAAAAATGTGTCAAAAGGAAGCACATGAACATTGTGGTGGAGGCAGTCACTGGGCATCCCCTGAGCTTGGCTTGTCAAAGATCTACTTAAGCTTTTAAAGTGGTACCAGGGTCCTTGTAACTGCTGGATATGGAGGCTGTTACATCCTCACACAGATCTAGTGATGTGAGGTGCTTTACACTGGATTCACTTTGACCTCAAGTCAGTAATGACAAAGGGAAACAAAGAAAGTGATGTGCAAAGCATATACATTGGCTTTTCTAGTGCAAACCTTTATCCACAATGTCTAAAGTTACACAGACAAAAGGGAGTCTCCAAAGATAATTTAATTTCTACAGCTCTCCTTCTTTTTCCTGCACATCATCACTGGAAATTACCCCATAAAAGACTAAAGCACACTGCCCCCTGCTGATTACAGCAAGATATAACAGTATGAAGGACAAATTACTGCCTGTCAACAGTGGCTCACACACACACACACACACACACACACACACACACACACACACACACATATGCAAGCAAGCAGTGTCAGTTTGACCTTTTCTTCCTGTTGCCATGGTAAAACTGTTAGGAAGTGGGAAGTGTCTGACAGAAGCCAGGTGTCATCACAGACCTGAGTAAGGAGAGAGACAGAGACAGAGGGGAACAGACATATTAAGTGTTAGAGATCGTTTGATATCATGTTGGCTCTGTGTTGTACTCAAGTAAAATCAAAGTCATAAGGTTTCAGGTGTTTCTGTTGTCTTGGGCCTCACAAGATATAATATCAATATCACATAACTCACATGTGCCTCAGTAGTGTACTCATCTTACATGTCACTTTCTGCACACAAACAATTTCAGTTTCGGGGCATTAACACAGGCCAAGAGAAAAGGCACTGCACTAGTCAAAAGAATATTACACAGAGTGTGTGAGTAGGTTGAAGGAATAGATCCCAGATACAGAAATTTTGGTGAATAATTTTTTTTTTTTAAAGTCAGAAACTGATCGATGCCTGAGGAAAGATCTTGTTATGTTTTAAGTCTCACCTAAAGTTAATAGGTGATCTCAGGTGAGGTTAGAAGGCTTTTATTTCTGAGGCCACAGTCTCCTCTGACCCAGTGTGTTTGAGGCAGACTGAGCCCTGACCCCTTTTTATTGCATTTCTAGGCAGGGTTGAATTTTGGATCATCATAAACTACTTCTATACAGAGTTACATCATTATTACAGACATTGTTATGCGTGCATGTGACTGCACAGTGTGTCTGTATAGTGTGTGCATGTACACACACACACACACAGTGTATAAACAGCTGTATTTTCTTTTGGTCCACACCTTTTCTTTCTCGTGTGGCCTCTTCAACATGGATAGACAGAATATTAGAGAGGGTCTTGTGTGACAGTACCAGAATCAAACTGCTGCTGTTTGGAGACACTGTGACAAAAAGCAGTGAGGTGATTGCTCACCAACATTTGATCATTGTCACACCGTGAGGATAATGTGTCACATCTGTAAGTGGGCTAAGAGACGAGGCAACACCCAGCCTGCTCCAGACTGCACGAACAGGAGGCGCAGACACTGATCATCTCACGGAGACATTTCGAGGCCTGTCGGTTCGTCTGGAGGAATGAACTTGAAACAGTTAAATCACAGATCACACCCATCAACTGAGCCTCCTCTGGTCGCTCTCCTCTCCAGCCGAATGGGCCCAGGTGTTACACTTCAATAAGATAACGCAGCAGATACGTACCGCTCCGTGCACGCGTGCAGCGTCAGTCTAGGTGCACGCTGACATGTTGTTGTTCCCTCCGTGCAGACACACAGCGCGATGTGTCCTTCAGATGCGCTGCCCTGTTTTCCTGTCGGAGCAGCCAATGGTGTCTCACCTCACCTCGCCGTGAACTGACGCCGTCACTGGTGACGACAGAGAAGACTTGTCACACCCACTCCGCTGAATCCTTACTGCATGTGTTCCGGAGGTTGTAGAAGATCGTAAGCTGCCTTCAAATATTTACCGAGGTTTAAATACCTGACCGAAACACAAGAAGGATTTCTTCATCACCGGGCCTCTATAGACTTATTTAATAATGAGGCCAAATTCAATTCAATTGTATTTGTATAGCACCAAATCATAATATACTAAATCTCACTCACCTTAAATGGAGTACAATATAATAATAATACATTTGTAATTGACATGATAAACTTGATTGGTGTTTTACTTTTAATAGTGTCGACATGTTTGTAGTACAACAAGCTATTTTTGTGGCTTTTGTCCACAAAACCCTTTTTTTGGCTGTCAGTACATGAAGGCAGCTCCGCTCAGCACTGCTGATCACGCTTTAACTTCAACTGCAGATAACTTTACTGTGACAAAATCATCTAACTGAGTATAGTAAAAGTAATATCCAATATAAGAGAAAAATCCAAAAATATTTAAAATGAACTACACTGTATCAGTTAATATATATATATATATATATATATATATATATTGTATCTGGTGATTTATGTGTACATTATCTATATATTAAATGTTACAGAAACATTGCAGCAGTAGAAGCCTCACATCTCTGAAAACAGCACAACTCATTTCAAACAGACAGAATATGGATAAAGATAAGAACACATTTCCAATCTGAACATATTTTCTCACACATTGTTTATTGCATGCAGTTGTTCAAAGATTAAAACTTCGGACTTGATTCATTCAATAATTTATTTAAAACTTTATTAACAACATTCTTACTGAATTATTGATTTATTATTGACTAACATCTTCCACAGTATCAGTCTTTCACCATTATTACATTTCTGTCTCAGTTTTTCAAACATATTGCACAGCCTGCATCCTTTCATGTCCATTGTCCACTTGGTGGCTCCTGTCCACCACCAGCAGCATCTAGACTCCATGAGGACATGTCTCATTGTCATTGTCTGATCAGTGATAATATATTACTACCTCTAATTATAATATTATAAATTGCTGATTGACATTGTAATACTATACACAATGTAATAACCATTATTAGAGAATTGTTTTGCGTGTGTTTGTAAGACTTTGGTAACTGACCAATTAATGCAATCAAGTTTCAAATGTTTCCACCACCAAGCTGAACTCATATTTATCAAGATATATGAAACAGCTACTTTCCAACAGGATGCTAAGTACAGGATTAACATACGGCACACATAGTGAACAAAATAATCAGCAGAATAATCCGTAGACCTCACCGTCAGCAGCTGTTATAAGGAACTACTTGTTTTACAGTTTGACTTTTGAAGAACGTGTGGGGGCATGTGACCAGGTTAAAGGCCTCTCATGAGCACGACATTTTACACCCATGACTGCATTGTTTCAGTCAAATTATTTTCGATGACACTGCATGACAATTCTCTGCCAGTGCCATTCTTTCACCACATGGACACAAAGTAACACATTTCCATTTTCTACACATAAGAGCTTTAGTTTGTTGAAGATATCTTGTCATAATCATCCATTCTCTTCTACATTGGTACATTATCCAGTTTGGAAACTAAAAAAGCCAATGAAATAATAAATATAGCTGTAAGCAGCACGTCCAGGTCGAAGCCTTTCTCTGCAGGAAGCAGCTCAACCAGCCAAAATTAAAGCTGTTACAAGCAATGAGCAGTTTTCATGTTACAAAAACAAGCAAAGTCACTTTAGTTGTATTCTGTTTAGTTTGCAAATATTCCACTGACGCAACATTTATCCACTGTACATGTAAATCCATTTATTACTTTACCAACATTAGACCAAGGCTGAAGACAAACTGAATAAGTTAAGATTTATTTACTGCAAACTGCATGCAGTGGCAGAAGATCAATTATACAAATATATGCACTTATCTTTACAGTAGGAAAAAGCCCCCTACTGGACAATT